CATGTTCAAACGGATGCGTTTGTCCGTTGGTTGATCGCAGTCCATCGCATTGGACATTGTTCTCTTCGGCACCGTCGGCTTGGCTTGCTATAATCATATAATCCAAGTTAGTGAGCGATAGGTCAATAATATGACATGCAAACGAACGGATTAAAAATGAAAGATTTTTCACCTTCGGACTCGATTTAATATCGATCAGGCGACTTCTGTAATGTTTCAAGTTGAAGAGGATGTTGCTATCCCACCAGGTACCAAGCTCAAAGCGTTCGGTATCTGATAAAGTGGAAATGGCGCAAGCCGCGTCCTTGGCACAAGCAAGCTCGTTGCCTAGAACTTCGGAACTTTGGTCCAAACGGTCCGTATGTTCCTTAATAGCAGAAGTTACATCCTTTTTCAAAGTTTTATGGACTTCGTCCGCAATGGTGTCCAAAAGTTCCTTTTTCAGGGATTCCTTTATTGTAGGGACATTTTCAAACGAAAACTTAAAAAACTTTGATTTTTTGGCAAAATTGTCGGCCTCCGAAAGGGTAACCGAGCGTTTTTGAAATTTTACCAAACGTTCATGCAAATTCCGTGCATGAGTTACCATCCGAGTGGTACATTCATGTACCTTATAACGTTTAACAGTATCCCGGGGGAGTGAAGACGACGACGAAGATGATGGTTTTTGGCCAGAGTTGGAGGAAGAAGAAAGAAGTGCGAGTTTGGACGTAGTGTCCTCAAGTTCCAACAAGAGTTTAGCATGTTGTTCGCCCATAGCTTGGGCATACCCGCGTTCAACGGCAATTAACCGTTGTTCCTCCTGTTTCAAAAAATTGGCAAGTTCATGTTGGTGTACGGGATTGAGTTCCCCAGTACTTAACATTTGTCGGGCTTCATTTGGGATATTTAATTTAAAAGGAGAAGAAGATCCTTGATGAGACATGTTAAACGTAGATAAAAGTTGAGAGAAGAAGAGAAGAAAAAGAGATAACTTTTATATAAAAGTTGTAAATATTATGGATTAGGGTTAGGGTATAGGGTTACCACGCCCTCCGGGGTAGAATCAAACTACCCCATCATTGGGCGTAGTAAGATTCGTACCGGAAAAACCTATTAATATTATGTAAAGGCATTCATATTAAGGTAAAACGTTTTGGCCGTTGATGTAACTACCACTCATCACTTATTTGGAGAGCGGTTCCAAGTTACTGGGGCTTCACATGTTTACGCGCCTTATTAAGAACGGAAATAATTGACTTGCCTTTTCGGACAACTGGAGTGAATGGCTCCGTTTGGTCGAAGTTCGCAATATAGCGGATGGCTTTTACAAGTATAGGACGAGCACCCGTGTTCTGAACCATAATGTAACGTCGCTTATTTATAGATTCTCTTAACTCTAACGTAGCCTCATCAATGTGAGGTTTTTCAGATAAAAGTAGTCTGGAACGATGCTCGTATGGGTTTAATCGAATAAAACGATTAATATCATATTCAAGATATTTTCTGCGAATAAGAAATTGTTTAAACCGATTAAGGGTCAACTCATAATTATTGTTAGAAGACGAGTTTCGAATTAGACGAATGTTTTCTCCTTGTATCCAATTATAGACATAATGGAAAGGATAGAACGTAGAAGGATCGGTGTATATATGTAAATTAGTTGGTTTGTCGTACACAGCGGTAGAAAAAGCAAATTTTACATTATCTGGATCAGAAGATACATCGACTATGCCGATTCTAAGGTCTAAAAATTCAACATATTCGTTTACTTTATTAGCACCCCCGGTAAATTCAAAGTTTAAAGATGAGTTACCAGCTTCCGCAGTTATATAATCAAGAAATAACTCAATAGCGTGAAGTGAAGGGTGTTTACCTTTATAATATCTAAACAGTTTACCATGAGTATCAATAAATAACATATCGTCAAGGTATCTGAAAAAACGAAAGGTAACCGGAATTCTAAGTCTTTCTATAGATATTAATTCTAAATGTGCTAAATATAGATTGGCTAGAACCGGAGACAAGGGGGAGCCCATAGGTAAGCCACGTTTTTGAAGAAACGTATTACCGGCAAAACCTAAAAGGGAGGTTTCAAAAACCCAAGATGCAAGAGTGAGGATTTGTTTCCATTTTCTATAATTGGGAGTATCACTACCAACTGCATCCATCCAGCCTTGATTGAATGCCAAACGTTCTATTGCTATTAGACACTCAGTTTGATCAATGGAATTATACATATCCGAAACATCAAACGAACAGACGATTGGACTTTGGGATAGTTCCGTCATCACTGGATCATTAAGTAATGCAAGTGAATTAGGTAAAATATGCGGGAGTTGATCAACAAAAGGTTGCAAAAATTTAGCAACATCTTGCGCAGCTTTGACATTAATCCAATTAACCACAGGGGTAATTATGCGGAGTTTATGAGGTTGTTTATGTAATTTAATTAAACCATATGCCTGCGGAACATTTAACATATTTTTATCCCACAAATTATCGATTAAATACATAGTCATTTCATATGTATGTACTTTTAAAAGATAAATTTGCAATTTGAATTGTGCTTGTCGACAAAAATCCACAAGGGG